AGCCTGTTTTCTTCTTCAAGCCTATATTGTAAGTTAGCTGATGATTTCAAGCTTGTTAATCGTTCATACGTCATTGGTTCAATGACACAAGATGCAAGTGATTTTACTCTGCTAATAGCAACATAGCAAACTCCAGCAGTTCTTTCAGATTTTCCAATATCTATCCATGCTTTTGGAAGCGTAAGTCCTTGGCTCTTGTGTATTGTTATAGCCCAAGCAAGCCTAAGAGGCAACTGTTGTCTCTCATCGAAACCTATTTCTGTCTGTGATGTGACAGTGATTGGATATATTGGGATACACAATGGTTGGTTTTCATTAAAAGAAGGTCCTCTGTAGTTTTCAAATTCTACTATTACCGCAATAGGTAAGTCAGGTGGTTGATGGTTGTTCTGATAGATAATATCAACAACTGACCCAGTAGCACCATTGCAGAGACCACAAATTCATGGTTAACATGACCCTAGCACCTTTTGCTAAAAACACAACAGGTTCTAACCCAGACATATAATCTGAGGATATCTTTTTTGCCAATGCTGATGAATGGCGAGCATTAATATGAGCAACTGGATGCTCAAGTTTTGTTAGCTGCTCATGGTTGTAATTAGCAACTTGTTCATTACTATAAAAGAGTCTAGTAGAATCTTCAAAGTCACATAAATTAGCGACATTTGATGGTTGACGTGTCAGAAGTAACTTCCAGTCATCAACTGTTGAGTTGCCTTTGCGTAGTCGTAATAACAAATCTCTGAAGTGCACTTGCTCAGATGTCATACCTTGCACACAGTGAGTTTAACAACTTTGTCAAACATATGATATGCTTAATGACCTTGTTCACCAACAGCATTTGATGGTCTAGCATGGTAAAGAGGTTTATCTGTTGCTCGTGGCAATTGACCTGGATCACCAGTTAAAATCAATGATTTTCCTCCAAAAACTTTGACATTATAATCAGTTGCTTGTTTGCAACTCTTGTCTATCCAACCAAAAGTAACTTGGCCAAGCATGGAGTATTCATCAATAATGATGTATCCAATGTTATTAACACTCTCTTGTAACCTACACAAGCTTTGTCCTGTTAGGTCTTTTATACCTCTTGATCCTATAGGTAACTTTAACAGAGAATGCACAGTTACACCTCTATTGTTATAAGCTGCTTTACCTGCGGTAGCAGCAACAGCACATTTACTTTGCAAAAGATTTCTAATACCATTAATAAGGTAACTTTTACCAGTTCCTACAACACCATTTATAATGAGACATAATGGCTCTTTCTCAGATGATATATCATCAAAATGAGACTTAACAATATTATAAACAAGTTTTTGCATTTCACTAAAACAGTTGATGTCAACAACATCATATTGCGCATCAATAGTGTATTCCTCTTTGTTTGTTTTTATCCATGTTGGCATTTCTTGGATTTGTTGTTCTGAATAATTGGCTCTGTCAAGACGCCAGTCATATGTGGACTCTGGTGTTTGTTCAGAGTTGTCAAAAGGAGTGTTGAGGTCTGATAATATCATCCACTCTTCTCGAGTTGTCTCCTGTTCTTCAGAAGGTTCATCTTCTGATTCTTGAGTTTGAATGACAGCTTGTAATTTATCAAACCAGTCTGGGACATTAGACTGCCCATAAGGTGTTTGTAAAAAAATCATGCCAACAATTGATCAGAACATCGTCAGTTGGTTTTTGGTCACCCCATGCATTGTTTTGGGTTATTCTCCAGGGTTTATACCTCAAAAGTTGATATTTACAATATAGGCCAAAATTTGGACCTTTGGGATTAGGAGAATATGTTGGAAATATTCGTGGTATGATATTCTCTGGCAATTTTGTCAGTTCATTGTTAACAACTTTGTATGTTGTAGCAAATTGAACAAAGTTCATATTTATTATATTTTGCGAACTCTCATACTGTTCACGATTAGCATAGACATCAAGAAGTGAATAATTCGTGCACGATTCACCCTCGTCAATACTTGCAGTATCACGCACTCTACGTGAAACACTTAGACTAACTGGCATAACTTTAAATGATGAGCTGTGGAGTTTTAAAGACAACAAATGATGCATGGTCTCTTGAGCTGCATAATCTCATTCACCAAGAGATTTCATAACAAACTTCTTAATAACTCTATGAGGGTCAGTATTCCTGTCAACATTTTGCACAATAGAATTGAATGCCTGTTTCAATATAGGTGATCTTGGTTCACCTTTAGCTGCATATTTTGTGAGATATTCAACACAAACATAGTGATCAATAACAACTTGAATATCACATTTAGCTCTCCATCCTTGGAGCTGAAGTTGTTGATGGTTATTTAATCTAGAGTCATTTCGTTTAGTCACAATCTTAGCTCGATAATGCTCATTACCACCTGAAGTATGAATTTTTCACATTCTAATTTTGTCTTAGGACAAATATCAAAAGGGAAATGAAATCTACATTTCAAGTCTGTTTCATTTGACTTCTTTCTAAGACAATAACTTGTACTACAACGAGTGCTTTTTCTGTGTTAAATATAAAGATTATATGTTTACAAAATAATGTCTAACATCAAACTATTTCATTTCCCCCACCACTTTTGACATAATAAAAAGTTACTAATGACAAAGCTTGAACAGTCAATTTGACTTAATTTTGACTTTGCAATGCTGTTTTACAGCTTTTGCGAATGTGGCTAAATGCCGCCTTTTACCATCAACTCATCCTGGTGGCTTTTAAGAGCCGCCTCTTGATGTGTATTGCAAATTCACAATGCAAGTCATGTATGTATTGGTATTTATGCAGTTTCTGCATGTTGTTGGAAATGTGGTCTTGGCCGCCTTTTACCAGCACCTCTTTCGGGTTGCATGTTTTTTACTTGTCGCCATTAAAGAGGATACATATCAATACATACCATTGCATTTGTAGGAGTTGTATTTCTTCTAAAAGTGCCTTACTCCATCAAAATTTTGTAAAAAGAAGAAAGATACTGCACTTTTTGGCAAACAATGAGATGGCTTTGTGTTAGACAATATTTAGTTGGCAACAATACGTGATAAAAAATAATTGTAGTTGATTACTGTAAGTCAATACCACACAATGTCCATAACCTCAATGCTTATAAATGGCATGTTAGCGCAATGTTAAAATAAGAATCGCAACTACAATAAAACATGTTAATTGCTTTGGTTTTTCATAATTTGGCCAAAGCATTATAGAGACTATAGAGCCCCCACAGAATGCCAATACTTCTAAACTTGCTAGTTGCTAATATATATTGAACAAATACCAGCAAAAAAAAGTGTTTAGATACTGTGTTTAAGGGGTTCAATTTGCTAGGAATAATGTAACAGGCTGCACACATTATTGAAAAAATTAACTGCTTTTTCTCTGTTAAATATAAAGATTATATGTTTACAATTGTCTAACATCAAACTATTTCATTTCCCCCACCACTTTTGACATAATGAAAAGTTACTAATTACAAAGTCCGGACAGCCAATTTGACTTAATTTTGATTTTGCAATGCTGTTTTACACCTTTTGGGAATGTGCCTAAATGCCGCCTTTTACCATCTCATCCTGGTGGCTTTTAAGAGCAGCCTGCCCAAGAAACTGTCCTTAGCGATGTCATTGAGATCGTTCCGGTAAGTCTGCTTTTTTATTGCCTGCATGTGCTGTTGCCACTTGCAAACAACTCTGCATTCGCAATAAATCTACATAACTCAATATACACCAATTTTTGCAATTTAGGAGGAATCCACGATTGAGGAAATTGTCGAGGGTGATCGTAGAGACTATCCAAGAATTATTATAAAAGGTGATCCCATTCCGGAACATGTAGTGATTGCGGTTGTTGTTCGCGGTGGAAAGTCGCGGAATCGTTGAAGCAACGTTGGCTCTGTTGGCCACCCATTATGTGTTTATGTTTGAGTATTCTCAAACTTTGAACAACTTTTATTTATATTTACAAAAATGCATTTTGAACATCCAAGATGGAAAGAAACTTCTTGCAGCTGTTACAAATTTTGTTAACGATTTAGATTAAATGATTTCTATTTCGAATAACTGTTGAACTGGTATTATTACTGATGGCTTTTATAGGAAGATTTGAAATTTCTCAACATCCTTAACTCAACTTTCTGAGGAAAATTGCTCAGTGAAGTGAGTAAATTTTTATTTTCCAAGTGCGTTTTCTGTGAGTCAGATTAACTCAACTTTCGGAGTAGAATTACCCGTGAGTTTGAGTAAATTGTAATTTTACTCAAGATGTTGAGTCACTGTGGGTTCATTTTGCGTGAGTCAATTTTACTCAACTTTTTGAGTCAAAATTACTCATAAATTTGAGTCAATTTTTATTTTACTCAGGATGCTGAGTCACTGTGGGTGCATTTTGCGTGAGTCAATCTCACTCAACTTTCTGAGTAAAATTACTCTTAAGTTTGAGTAAATTGTAGTTTTACTCAAGATGTTGAGTCACTGTGGGTGCATCTTACTTGAGTCAATTTTACTCAACATTTTGAGTAAAAGTACTCTATATTTTGAGTAAATTTTACTCAACAATTTGGGTCACTGTGGGTGCATCGTTTTACTCAGCTTTTGGAGTCAAAATACTCAGGGATTTTTTGCAGTGATATGCAAGACTCGTTTTCATCGTCTTACACTTTTCTCAGACGGCATGAGCAAACTACGTTCAACATGTTCGAGTACCCGCATGCAGCGCTATATTGCGCAAGCAATTATTGGTTGACTGATCTACACGATGTAACATTACTACCTAAGGTTCTGTCGAACGTGGTGCACATTGAGGAAATCCCATGCAAGTGGAAACATATCGACATCCTATGAGACCTCCATGCCGCTAGATTGGTCTGCAAACCCCTTATAAAATATTTGAATGAATTTGCTGGATTTAAGAAGAAATCTTGAAATACTTTACGAAATATAATTCCATAGTTAGGAAAGACATGGTGTACACATGTACAATCTTGAACAACTTATTGATAAACCAACGAGAATAACTGAGAACTCAAGTACATTGATTGATCTCCTATTCGCTAACAATAATCATCGAATAGTTTCCTCCGGAGTCCTACACGTAAACTTAAGTGACCATTCTCTTATCTACTGTGTTGTTAAAGCGGGTGTACGTAGGGCACCAGGAAGAGACCTAGAATACAGATCCTACAAGACTTATTCAAAGCCATCTTTCCTCGCCGATCATGTGCACGTTAATTTCGACCTTATTGACGAAGAACGAGACATTAATGTCGCTGTAAGAAAATGGAATGAACTGTTCACAAATGTTGCCAATCTTCATGCTCCAAAGTAGTGAAGCCCCCCACTCTGGAGTACAAAGGGATGCCGCCAATGACGTCACATTGCTCCGAAAGTAATTAGTATGCGACTTAAGTGTCGGAAGTAATTAGTATGCAAGATATGTGACGCAACTTTGCTGGCCCTAACCCTGGGCCAGGTAGCGCGACCAATTAACGCGGGCAGGCCTGGGCCAACTGTGACAGGTAACGCGACCAATTAACGCGGGCAGGTCTGGGCCAAACGTGGTCGATTAGCATTACAATGCAGTAACGAGACCAATTAGCGGCACAACACAGTAGCGCGACCAAACAAATTATCAGAGATTATAAATATCGTGTATCAAACACACGTTTCATTTCTCACTGTTGCATTTTGGCGAGTGGTCTCTGGTTTTCTCAAGTGTTGTCTGGTTCTGAAGTGTTCTCTGCTTTTGGATTGCGTTGGATTGTTTTTTAAAATGGCTCATTCGGTAAGTTTGTGTATTTGTTTTGAATATATGTTTACGATAGTTTCAGAGTCATAGGCTGGATAAAATTTGTGTTTGAATATATGTTTACAATAGTTTTAGATTAATATGTTTATGATATTTCTAGATTAATATGTTGGATCTTGTCAAAGCTTGTGAAGCTGAAAGTGAACTCAACTTTCTCCAAGAGTCGTTTGTGCTTACTGATGAGCAGAAGGAAGCTGTTCTTCAACAGCGCATTATATTTTGGACGAACGGGATGGCCGAAGATATAGAACGGGAGAATCCGGTTGGAGTTGACCCTGATATGATGGCAAACTGGACCGAGGATCAACGTCGACTGTTCAACGAAGACTGGGCCAATGATGATGGTTTATGCGAACTCGAACAGATGCCAGAAAAACAAATAGGTGAAGGGAGCAAGCGAAGGCACGCCAGTGATCACACCCCCTCAAAACGCCAAAGACCAGAGGAGTATTTCACTATTAAATCAGCCAAGCAAGTCAACGTGAGGAAATTCAGGACGACAGGTACACAAACTGTTTTTATATTTTTAAGCGTGTATTTTTAAGCGTAACATTGGCTACGTGTTGGATATAAATTGTTATGTGTGAGTGAGGTTTCGTTTTTATTAGGCTCCATTTACACTATACCGGATTGCTATCGGAGTGGGTCAAATTTTGTAGGTATCGAAAGGCTGTGAAGATTTTTAATCTCAGAGCCCCAAATAAACATGCCAATTCTGTCAAATTAATAAGCATTTGCTACTAGCCATTGCTCCGTAACGGCAAAAGAAGATGTAGTGACCAGCGAATCCGGTATAGTGTAAACCGGGGCTTATAAGAGTTGTGTTTATTGCTTATATGTACATCTGTAGTTGGCTATACGAAGGATGTCCAACAAGTTAGCTTTTTATAAATGGTCATAACTCTCAAATGAAGCCTTAGTATTTACAGGGCTTATGATTAGAATTGTAGCTAAATGTTTCGAGTGGCACAATCCGGTAAATAGCGAACTTAAGACCTACGACGCGGCTGGCTCAGCGACGCGCGTCATAGATCTTGAGCTTTCTATTAGTGTTGTTTGTACAACCTCCCGTTTTTTAGGTATCCAAATTATTCCATATTACAGAGTAATCATGTTACAGTAATCTATATAATGATTACTGCTATAAAAATAACGCAATGGTGTAAACGCGCCACATTTTCCTTGGTCATTAGACCAAGGCTTGTAGTGTAAAAACACCTCGTGAAATTTTGGGTGTTTAAGGCTACTTGTTACCAGCCATAGTCGTTCTGATTGCTATTACTTAGTACAATAGTGTATTACGGCTTTTAGGTACAGACTATACTGTTCAATTCAATCCGTTGGACGTGCACGGGGTATCGAACGTCATGTCGACGTTGAACCGCGCATTTCAACACTTATTTGACCGACTGACAAGTGACATGGCTCCTCACGATCAAGTTCGCTTGATCCTCCACTCGAATCAGCTGGACAAATCCATTTCCTTACCTTTCCTACAACGCGATCGTCTAACCCCAGAACGTTTCCTGGCAGCTGTCGAACGCGTCGTACAGTCCAATGACCAATTTACTTTGGATGACTCTGTCAGCGTCAACGTAGTCCATGTCGAAATGCCTAACGGTGCAGGTAGAAAACGACGTGATGTTGTAAACCTCGAAAGTTTTCTCGGAAAAAAGGACTGTATCGTTCAAATTAAGAACAAAGATGATCTCTGTTGTGCCCGCGCGATTGTGGTGGCCAAAGCAAAATTGGATAACGATCCGCAGTACAAGAGCATCGCAACACCGCGTGGAACACTGCAAACTCGCCTAGCCCAAGAACTCCATGAATCAGCGGGTGTTCCTCTTGGTTCCTGTGATATCCCGGAAATCAAACAGTTCCAAGCTGCTCTTCCTGGTTATCAGCTCAACGTGATTTCCAAGGAACATCTAAACGCCATGATTTATTCCGGTCCTGAAACAGACAAATGTTTATACCTGTACCATCATGATAACCATTACGACGTCATCACCAGCATGCCTGCCTTCCTTGCCCGTAAACAGTATTGTCATAAATACAAGAAGGGCTACGACAAGATTACTGACCATCCCTGTGGCGATCTGTGCAAATTGTGTCATACCCAAAACTGTCCCATTGTTAAATGGAAATTTTGCAAAGACTGTAACCGTTTCTTTAAAAGTGACGAATGCTTCAACCGCCATAAAGACGACGCCGGCCCTGCCAAATCACTGTGTCGTGCTTTAGTTAAATGCAAAAAATGCAAACGTGTGGTTACTCGTGCCAGTCTTCGTGATCATCATTGTGGCAAAGTGAGATGTTCCACCTGTCAAAAGTACGTCAAATCTAAAAACCATCAATGTTATCTCCAACCTGTAAAGGCGAAAAAGACACAATCCACTGAAGAAGGAAACGATTTGCTCGATGATGATGTGGCCGTGGAAAACGACGTAGAAGACACCAAATACTTAATGTTCTTCGACTTTGAGTGCACGCAAGACGATGGTAAACACGTCCCCAATCTCTGCGTAGTCCAGAACGAAAGCGGTGACGAGAAAGTCTTTTCTGGGCCAAACACTAAAGACGAGTTTTGCGAGTGGATGTTTCGGCAGGAAAACGCGAAGACGACGTTTGTTGCACATAATTTCCAGGCTTACGACGGGTACTTCATTCTACAATACCTTTACAAGAATGGTATCACTCCAGAAATCATTACCCGTGGCGCAAAAATCCTTTCGCTCACTGTCCCCGAAATGAACATCAAGTTTATAGACTCTCTCTGTTTCATCCCAATGAAACTCGCCGCCTTCCCGAAAACGTTTGGTCTCACAGAGCTTCAGAAAGGTTACTTTCCCTCATTTCTTTAACCGTGCTGAGAACCAAGACTACGTGGGACCTCTTCCAGACTCGAAGTTCTACGATCCTGATGGCATGAGCAGCGATGACCGCGAAAAGTTTTATTCATGGTACAACGAGCAAGTCCGGCGTCAGTACGAGTTCGACTTTCAAGCCGAAATTCTTCGATATTGTCAATCCGATGTGGACATTTTGCGTCGCTGTTGTCTCGAGTTCCGCGAACTTTTCAGCCAAATCACAGATGTTGACCCTTTTGCCTCTTGTCTCACCATTGCCTCTGCTTGTAATCTCGTCTTCCGTAAAACGTTCCTCCAGGAGAACACCATCGCCGTCATTCCTCCTTGCGGGTACAAGCCTGAAAACAAACAGTCCGTCATCGCCTTGAAGATGCTGGCCTGGGTCGCTCAACGTGATAACATCGCCATTCGCCACGCCCGGAACCACGGAGAACAGCGCATTGACAAGTACCTTGTCGATGGTTTCAACGTTGAGACAAACACTGTTTGGGAAATTCAAGGATGCCTGTGGCATGGATGCGAAAGATGTTATGCTAGAGATACCGTGAATCCGATCAACCATATGACCATGCAAGATCTTAAGCAGCGAACCCTAGAGAAAATCCAATTCCTAAAGAACAACGGATACAATGTCGTAGAGATTTGGACGTGTGATATTGAGCGTCAACTTGCCACTGAATCCGAGATGAAGGATTTCTTCGACAATTTCCAGATTTCTGAACCTCATGAACCTCGTCATGCATTCTTTGGTGGAAGGACTAACGCAACACGTCTATATTACGACGTCCAGCCAGAAGAGAAGATCCGCTATGTGGATTTCTGCAGCCTCTACCCATGGTATGTATCTTGTTGAAGTCTTTTAACTCAAACGTGCTTGTCGTTAACCTTCTTAAGCAATTTTTAGGTGTAACAAATACGGCGAGTATCCGATTGGCCATCCCGAGATTATTACTGAGAACTTCCAACCTATCAGTGACTACTTTGGTTTGGTGAAATGTTCTGTGCTTCCTCCTCGTGCCCTATACCACCCCGTCCTCCCTTACCGTACTCAGGGTAAATTGATGTTCCCGTTGTGTCGTACCTGCGCAGACAACCTTCAACAAGAGTCCTGCCATCACAGCGACGCCGAGCGAACACTTCATGGGACGTGGGTGGCTTTGGAGCTCGAGAAAGCACTAGGGAAAGGCTACGAATTGATGAGAGTCGACGAAGTTTGGCACTTCCCCGAGCACACGGATGGACTGTTTAAGGACTACATTGACACATTCCTCAAAATCAAACAAGAGGTAAGGTTTCATCACATGTATGATATTGTCACATTATTAGTTCCTTATTATTCCTTTCTCTTTTGCAGGCGAGTGGCTTTCCTTCGGAATGTGACACCGACGAGAAGAAGGGGCAGTACATCGCTGACTACGCCACCAAAGAAGGTATTCAGCTGGATCCAAGACAAATTGTGAAGAATCCTGGTCTGAGGGCGTTGGCGAAGCTCATGTTGAACTCTTTTTGGGGTAAGTGCAATGGAAAATTGTCCACTAATTGTACTTGTTTTTTCCTAGGGAAAAAACAAGTGTTTGTTAAAAATCTATCATTTCTTGTAGGAAAGTTTGCGCAACGACCCAACATGACCAAGGTCAAAATCATATCGGATCCAGCTGAATATTTTGACCTCCTCTCCAGCGATCAGATTAACGTCACCGACGCAAACTTCAAATTTCAAAGTGGTCACCGAGGAATGTTTGTTTCGCGTACGACGAGTTAACGTAGCCCCTAGCATTATACTGGCTCATTCCCAGTCCCTTCAACAAATCACTGCCAAATACCCAATCAACAGGATCGACTGTAAGGTTGTCTCCGTACCTCGGGGGAATATGTCTGGAAATCAACCTAATATATTTCAAGGTGGTTTACCAAATCGTATCGTGATTGGAATGGTCGACGCGGATGCCTTTAACGGTACATATACGAAGAACCCGTTCAATTTTAAAAATTACGATATCACAACCATGGGTCTCACTGTCAACGGAGAGAACTTGCCTGGAAAACCACTACAGTTGAAATTTGGAGCAGACAGTAATTACATTTCTGCTTTTCAAACCCTGTACGCTGGTACACACAAGATTTTTGAAAATCAGGGTAATGGTATAACGCGTGAAGAATATGCAAACGGTTATACACTGTTTGTGTTTGACCTCACACCAGACCTGTGCATTGGTGATCATGTACAACCGATTAAAAACGGAAATGTGTCAGTTGAATGCCGATTTGGAACACCGTTGGAAGCGGCTATAAATATCGTGGTGCTTGATGAATTTCAAAGTCTTATCGAAATTGATGCGAACCGGAACGTACTGTGTGATTTCAACAATTGAAGATGAACTCGCTGCAGATTATGAACATTCTCAAGAATGATCCATTTACAAAAACGGTGTTTACGGACGTTTTACCATCAGATCGTTTACCTCGCGAAATAAGAAAGAGGCCTAGAGGGTACATACTTAACACGGACGCATCGGATATGCCCGGATCACACTGGATTGCAATGTACCTTACAGAAGATGGTAAAGGGGAATTTTGGGATTCGTATGGTCAGGCTCCTGGATTTTACAATCAGAACTTTACTCAATTTTTGGACAAGCATTGCGCTACATTTACATGGAACAGAAGAATTTTGCAAGCTCCTTCATCAGACGTGTGTGGACAATATACATTATTCTTTGCTTTACATCGATGTAGACGTATTCCAATGTCAACCATTGCAAATATGTTTACGGATAGCAAAGAATGGAATGATAAGCTTGTGCGTGACTTTATAGACAAGTGGTACAAACACTAGATTTAGTTTAAAAACATTTATTGTAAAATATTCTCTTACAAGAAATAAATTGTTTTAACCATTTATATGGACTACTAATATTGTCTCTACGGTTTTTTCTCTTTTCTTGCTGCACTCGAGGGGTGGTGGGTAGATTTTCCGGGATACCTTTGGTTTTATATTCGCGAACAATTCCAAGACGGTTTTCGTTTCTCACAATACCTTCGGGTACATTCAAATGCCCGAGAACTTTTGAAAACAATTCCCAGCCGTCGGGGTTGAAATTCTTCCTTTGACGTAGAGAATCATTCACCAAATCAACTATATTTGTGCTAGGAACCGATCTTCCTTTGAACACCATCTGGCCTTGTTCATTCCAACCAACAAGATCTTTATTTGACTTGAGTTTTTTGATGAGTTGTCGAGCTCTTGACTTCATAGTAGCTGGTACACTGTCCATGATATCTGTTTCAATCTCGTCTGAAGGTTCAGTCTCTTTACTCGGCTGTTCTCCTTGAGGGTCTTCAGGTTTATCGGTGTGCGTCACGTTTACTCGGAGAGGTTTATTCATTCGTTTATCATAAAAGGTTAAATAGCGTTGTAGATTCTGGTCGTATAACTTTGCCTTTTCATCAACTGGTATATCTTGTCGTCGAATAATATCTTGCATGTCTGAGTCTATTTCGTTAACCTGTGTCGCCAAAGGCGCCGCGAGAGGTTTCTTTCGCTGTTCAGCCATATGTTCAGGGACAAGTACTAATCGCTTGACGTGCTCCATTATAAAAAGTTAGACAACTGTTCCAAAACTGAAGTGAGTAGAAACGGTAGGAAACCCTCCCCTTTTTGGACTAGACGTGTTCTTCTTTTTACGATAGGATTTCTTTTGTCAGCCGCAAACTTTATATGCTTGGAATGCGGTGTAAGTTTTTTAGCTGTTTTCGGTTTCAGTTTAACCGTTTCAAACCAAACGTTTAATAGACACTGTCTTATCGCTTCGAATAAATCGTCTTCAGCCGCTTTCAAAATAGCTTTTCTCAGTTCGGGTTTGCACTTGGCCAATACTTTCAGAAGTTCGGAGTTCCTCTTCATACAAGCAGACATGATCAAATGAACATTTTACACACGTTCCCACATTTTTATACTCTGGGTTGATAGACATAATGCGTGTCGGTTGGAAAGATCCCGGATCGAATTCGTATCTCGTCAGGACATGTAGGAGTTAAGTCGACAAATAGATAAGAATAAGGTTCTTTCGTTGCCAATTGATAAGCTTGTTGGAAAAACTTCGTTTGACTCGGGTATAGCTGTTTAGCGAGATGAGTAATTTGACTTGCATCGCGAACATTTTTCGTTAAACATAAATAACTTGCATTGAGAGATATTGTGCGATGCTCTTTGCTTTGGTGAAACAAGTTTTGCACAATGTAGATTACGCTTAGATTACCATGGTGCGATTTTTTCGTGAACAATTTAGAAATCACTCCGTCCTTCTCACCCATCATATCGTCAATGATGAACAAATTGCGTGTTTCTGGATTGATACTATCCATTATATTATCCGGCAAGCCTTGTATGAATTTTATACCAGGCACTAAATTTTGTATTTCTCCAAACGCGTCTTGATATTCGGCATAGAAGTAAATAATGTTTTCAGGCGTTGGATCAATCAACACATTGGCATAGCTGAGAAGCCTTTTCACAAAGGTAGTTTTGCCAGATTTTGTACCGCCAGAAACGAGAAGCCCAAACGGGTGTCTTAACTGTATGGAGTACATGATGAAAATGAAAGCAGATACTTTTCGATCAGTTTATTTATCTTTTGCAACTCGATCAATACCGTTGCTTTATCAATAGGCATTTTCTTAGCACGAATA